TTGATTGACCATATGTACAGCCCTATGTGAGGAACTATAGTAAATCAAAAGTGATAGATGTGATCCTTGGGAATCTAATTTTATTAGATAGGCAAGTCTCACCAACAACCCTATTTATTGGCTTTCATTTATTAGATGCCAGCCATGTTCTGGCGCCTTCAATATAACATCTTATTTACTTCTCACTGCCCATTCTTTCCAATTTTCAATAGGTCTGGATTCCTACTCTATAGATGCCGAGGTAACTCTAAGGTACGCCCAAGGGTTGAGACTTTCTCGGGCAGTACAAAAGGAACAAGTGCAGCTGCATTGCATGCAGATCACTCCACTGTGCCAAGACAAAGAGCCAAGTGAGGCCTTGGCATCTGTCCCTGGATAGGTGGACAGCAGCCTCCCTGGGGCTGAGGGTGTGATGTCAGCTCTGAACCACCTGCAGCACAGAAACCACAAATGAGAACATTTACTTCTAGGAGGCACCTGATAAATGGAGATAGTGCCTTTGAGGGCACTTGAACACTTCTGCTGAAAAGCAATGGTACTAATGGTATAGCCTCAACATGAGCTCCCATAAAGCCTAAGGAGGAGCAGCCATCACTCTGTGGCCCATTTTTCTAGATTAGGTAACTTTGAAATGTCATCTCCTCTCTAAGATTTACATAATTCCTTTTCCCTCTGGTCTTTTGAGTCTTACTGTTTATTCCTGCCTACTATAACTCTTATAATGACAGGTGGGAGTTAAGTTTGCCTCCCCTAGCAGACTTGCCTTTTTGAGGGCAGCCAGTTGCCTTGTCACTCGAACTTCAGAGGAAAGTACAGTGTCCATCACATAGTAGATGCTCAATATAGTTGTATAAATCAATAAGCTATCATCAAAATATTACCCTCATGGGTCCAAAGAAACAGATCACTGCTGTCAGCAGCTATTTAAACTCCAAACCATGTGGCACAGTCTTCTCTTAGATGACAGTACAGTAAGTACCTGACTTATGAAGAAGTTCTGTTCTGGGAGAATGTTTGGAAGTTGGATTCGTTCGTAAGTCTGAGTGAATCAAACACTTTTGACACAAATATGCAACATACATTGCTTTGCACTTCCTAGCAGTCCCCTCCACATCACCACTGCTTTTCCTCTTGCTTCTGGACATCCTGGGCTCTAATTGAGCTCCGTACCACTGTGCACTATAGCACTGCACAGTAAGCACACAGCAGCACAACTGTGACAATGTCTGGCAGACACTTGAGCTACTTCTGCTCTTTGTTCGCATCTACAAATGTTCCCACTGTGAGGTCTATTCATATCTGTGAAAGTTCACAACTCAAATGTTCATAAGTTGAGGACCTACTATAAATATTAAATAAAGTAACCAACACCTTTTCTCCATCATGATAAAGTTATCCATATTTTTTGGTTTGTGAGGGGCTCAGACTATAAATCATTGAGCTCTGAAATGAAAGCTCTATAAATAAATTGGTTCCAGTGGGTTAGTCACACAATGTATGGTATATTTTCCAGTCAAAAACCTAATTCTAATGAGCCATCCCAGTGATGAATGGGGCTATCTTGTAATTTATTCCTTAGGGCAATGAGTGTCGATAGCTGAAGTTTGAGTGTCTTGTTCTCCTGTTAGAGGCCAAACCCTTGCATGTGCTGAGCCAGGTGTGGCTTGGGAGTTTTTATTTAACAACAATTTAAGCCTGAGATCATGCTTCAGATTGCTCTGACTGAGTGCTCTGAGCAAGATGGGAATTTCTACATTTCCTTCTGGAAAGCAAAATGCAGATAAGCGTGCCAGTGGTTACTCATTTATCTTTCTTTTTCTTCTTCCAAAAGCATCTCAGCAGTTTTTTTTTTCTTTTGAGCTGATTTATGACATCAGTACCAAGCTGGAAATTACAAAATGCTATATTTGAGACAATAATCTGAAGTTCAGAGAGTGAACAATCATTTATAACTATTCATGCTTAAGATATCACAACAGGATTATTTCTACATAGACTTTTAAAGGAACAAATTTAGAGGGAGAAAAGGTGTTTTAAATGGGCTGATGGTGTATTAGGTCTTAACAGGCTCTACTTACCCACTGACTGTCATGCTCTGGGGGATTTGGTAGGTCACATTCTCTTGATGCTTCATGCTTTGATAGATGGTGAAGGGTAATTCCAAATATCCTCCCTTCTATGGTGGCAAGAACTTTGCTGCCAATATTAACTCACTTGAAACATAGCTTTTAAGATGTCAATTAGACCTAAATTCTGCTCGTGTGCTTCCTTGGCTATCTCACTGACCACCCAAGGGCCATTACTCAGTCAATTGCAGAGTGGTCAGCAGTTACCAGTTGCGTTGTGGGTTGTAACTGTAGCCAAACTGTAAATGAAGTACTGGGGGCTGGACTAGTCCCATCCAGTACAGCACAGCATTCAGACATACCCGACCTTTTGTCCATGGGTTGGATAGCTCTGATCTGGCTGGGCCACATATAAAACATATAGTTAATCTATATAAGTAACAATACTTCCTTTAAAAAAATATTTATTATAATATAGGTGTGTCCAGTCCATTGTCTGTAGGTTGGAGACTCCTGGAATCTAAAGGGAGTCTCAGGACTGTGCAGACCCATACCTTGATATCACAGACAAGAAGCAGGAGGTTTGGACAGATGTGACACAAGTTCCTATAGCTGGTTACGGACAGAAATAAGACCGGGCTTGGTCTCTAAACTGCAGACCAGTCTATTTTCTTTCCTCTGTGGAGTCTGTACTATGAGTACATATCATACCATAAAGTAAAATTTATATTGCTCATGAGTGGTAATGCTCTCAATTAAAATAGTAGGAATAGATTTCAATAATCAGGTGATCTAAAGCAGTGATCTTCAAACTATAGTATGCATTAAGATCACTTGCACAGTTTGTTAACATAGATGGCTGACCTCGCTCTGTGTTGGTCAGAGATGCAGCCTGCCAATTGGTATTTCAAGTTACCAAGTGATGCTGATGCAACTGGTGTTGGTCTGGGGACTGCATTTTGGGACCACTGTGCTGCAGCGAGTCCACGCTGTCCCCTGGTCTCGGTCACTGGCTACCTGTGCACTACGAGCTGAGGGTTCTATGGTGAGTGCCCAGCAGGTGAACTCTCTGAACTCTCTCGTGCATTTCCTACTGGAGCTGTTTCCTAGCACAGCAAAGAGCTCTGGCTTGGGTCAGGTGGCCTAAATACTCTTCTCTGTGCTCTGATATGCCACATGACCTTCAGGAAGGCTTCAAGTTTTTCATCTTTGGAATGGGGAATCATATGTTGCAACTCCTCTAATTGTGGAAGGATAAAATCAGATAAAGTGTATGAACAGTTCAATAGGTAAAATCACTTGGTGTATCAATCAGAGGCCAGTCACGAAAAGAGATGACTCCTATGTGTCCCATAATGATGTTTTAGTTAACTGTATAGATACAAGTGGTCCTATAACATTATGATGGAGCTGAAAAATTCCTTTCTGGTGTCACTGAGCCCTACACATAATTCACATGATTCTGGTAATGTTGGTATGAATACACCTACTACATTGCCAGTTATATAAAAATATAGCACACCCCATTATGTGCACTAGATCATACTTGATACTAAATGACTTACTGGCTTATGTAGTTACTATACAGTACTATATTTTCTATATTTTCTGAGAGTACATTTCTACATATTAAAAAAATGTTGACTGTGTAACAGCATGCTATGTCACAGTGGCACCAGCTCCATGCACCCCATGTACACTGGGTCTCTCTTGTGCTTGACTTAACCTCATGTTGTTTTATTTCTCTTGTTTCCTTGGGCAGTGGGCTATGCCACACACATATGGCTTGTAGCCTAGGTGTGTAGTAGTCTATGCTATCTAGGTTTGTGTAGATACTTTGCCACATTCACACAAAATCACTTAATGACATGTCTCAGAATGTGTCCCCATCATAAAGGGGTGTGTGACTCTTACAGAGAGAACTAAAGAAAATAACTCAGGTGATGGAAGAGTTCAGAAACCAAAAAGGGGTGCAGAGGCAAACTAGAGGCTCAGCAACAGCATAAATCTGCAGCCAGCCTTTGGGGCAAGGACAGGCAGAGGCAGTGTGTCTCACGCCTTGGCTGGGAGCTAGTGTGGCTGGTGCTCACCTGAGAAAGGGGGTTTGCCTGGCAGTTGGTACAGCCATGGAGAAACCTAGAAAGTACAAGGATAAAGATCTGGGGAATATTGTTCTATGATTCTACACAGAGCAGGGAAAGGCAGGAAATGAATTTCTGCACTACAGTAGTGTGCAAAGAATTCTAGTCGTTGCCATGGCAGAAATTATCATTTCTAGACCATCAATAGACCATGTCTACTTCCCACCTAGAGCCCTCCCTGTGCCTAAGTGTAAAGGGGGTGAGAGTTGATATTAACCTACAAACTGGCATACTATACATTTGTTAGCCATAAAAACCAATGGGAGAGCTATTTCACAGTAGGAGTTGTTTTTTAATTGGGTAATAGTGTATAACTTGCATTTGGGGTATAGCTTAGCTCCATGTACAGCCCATGTCACACCACTGGATACTGTTCTTATACTATGTGTTCAAAATATTAAGACTGTACAAGAGAGACAAATCAGACCATCAACAACCAACCATGGTTGCTATAGGATGGTTGTCAACTCAACTTCTGGGGATGAATGGTGGAGAGAGAAGGATAGAGGGACAATGTAGTCTTGCTTTCTTAGAGCAAGAACAGGCCTTGAAGTGGTATCAGCTGGGGGTGTTTCTTTTGCACCCTTGAGTATAGTGAAATGATACAAGTAGCACTGAGCACACTGGTGGCACCCACTGTTCACTGTCCTCCTGTTACAAAAATGAGATGTGATAAAGGAATGAAAGAAGGTAGGTGCGTATCAACAGAAACAAAAACAACATTTATAAACCAAGAGTGAGTGAGCTGCTTAGAAAGAGTTCTTAGGTGATAACTGAAATTTCAAACCCAAACTTAAGTTTCAAAACAACCTTTATTCTGTATGAAGACCTAATACAATGCATTAAAGCAACTTAAAACAAGACATAGCTCCATTGATCTATAACTTGAACAAAACATCAAGGAGGCACACTCCCCCCCCACCCCCCACCCCAGTTGCCTTGTAAAGGCAAAATTACACCTGACCATGACATCCTCCCTCTCATCAAAAGACCAATTTTAATGTCATATAAACAGATTTGTAAAAACATTGAACAGATCATAGCTTTAAAAAATACACATGTATAAATGAGGTTTTTTTCTTTTTGTTTTGCTTTTTATTTTTTTTCTTCTTTTTTTAAATAGCAGCATCCTGGGCAGCTAATGCTCTCTCACGGTGACAAGTTTAATGTTAAGTTGAATGGTCTTTCCAATTACTCAATTCCATCCCCTCCCCACCCATTATTCTAGCATTTTACATAACTCGATTTTTAAAAATAAGAATTTGGGATTTTGGAACTTTGTCCCATGTGAGGCATTGTGCTTTAAACTGCCCCTTTCTTAAATTGACCCTAAATTCAAAGACAGCAGGGTCTGCTTTCCAACTGACTTGGATACCATGCATAGCAAAAGCACAGTTGTTAAACCAGCAGAATTTTTCTCCCAGTAAGGAACATCAGTAGGACTTCCCAACACGTTACTTGTTCATAACCAGCTATACGACAAAGCAATTGGGTCCCCACGGTGACAGCTCACATAAACATATTTTGACTTGACACACTAGTAAACAAAGATTTCCAGGATAAGGAGTCATCCAGACCTGCTCCCTAAAAGGAGTAACTTCTAAAAATAGAAATAAAGTCAAAGAATTATGAACTTCTCACTTCACTTGCAATTTTCACCTTACTAAGACAAAACAAAGCAACCTCAAAGGAAAAAACAACTCATATACATATACAGTAACTGTACTAGACATTTGCTTATTATGTACTTGAACTCACTGCAAATCTGTTTTGGCTGAAAGGTGTACTGGAAACATAGTCCATGCACATATACATATATACATATATCTAGGGCAGTGACATCGTCACATGTTGCAAACACGTTGTTTTTGCCTTTTTACATGGTTATGATCACTCTGGTGTGGAACATGAGGTCCCAATGCTCCCCTTCTACAGCCCTTTCATAACCTCTCTGCAGCTGGCTTCTGGCTTTTGTCTTTTGGATGCTACACATGGTGGGAAAAACTGATGCATGGATAAAGCACAAATCAGGAATACCTCTGCTGTATCCATTCATATTCACCAGCCTCTCAGACGTTAGAAGATGGCTGTCTGGCTGAACCCACAAAGCCCTGATGGCCAAACAGCTAGAAGGGCAATAGTGGCGGGCATGCTACACTGTCATCAAAAATGCATTCAGCAGAATAGGTATGATGTAACTAGCTGATGGATGGATGGAACAATAAATTCTTCCTTCTGTTCAATGAAAAATCTATTGCACTTATGCTTGTGAGATGCAAAAAAGAGGTGACCGCCTAAATAGCATGTCATCTTGCAACGCTGAAGCAAAAATAGTAAAATTGTAGTTTTCAATGAGACATTCGATCTCAGATCTAGTTTAGAAAATAAATGAAAATTATTTGTATTGAATACCATACATGATGTGCTACCAAAAGAGAAAAAAGACCCCCCAAAAACAAAACAAAAACACACAAACCTACTTTATAAACTACTATTAACTGTTAAGACTTCTGTGTGCTGTAGCAAGATCTCACCACCAGTTTTAAAGCACAGACACAGACTAACATCAGGGAAAAACATTACTTGTCTGGTGATGTGAGGGAGATGGTCAGATCAGAAGTCAAGTTTGAGGGCTGACAGTCTAGCTGAAGACTGACTTTATGTAAAGAAAAGTAATACATTCTACAGACCATTAACTCAGCTACTAAGGCTGATTCTTCCAAAAGCTTTTTAAAGGGAAGAACACTTAAAAGACAAAACAAGTTATCTTCACTTTGTATTTGAAGGGAAGAGAAAGCTGTGAGTGAAACTAATATGAAGAAAGGGACACGAAAACTATGAGATCCACTGTTATCTGCTGGAGCAGTGACCATGATTATAACCAGCCTTTCCTGCTCCCAACACATGTACAATTTCTGCAATATCTTCCAACACAACAGCTTTTGCATATGCAAATTTGGGAGGGAGAACTCTCACTGCCACCCTAAATTGCAAGGATGACACTTTCACCCCCTGCCTTTCCCCAGAGTGAAGTGGAACACACCATTATTTGGATAAATGAGAAGGTTCCTCCTTTGGATTCCTGCAATGGCCAGGGCTTGAACAAGCTCCACACAGCCCATAGCAGTAGCCATGTGCTGTGTCTCCTTGCTACGTGTCCTAAATTGAATGGAATGCTAGGAAAATAACAAACACCCAGCTAAAAATATTTTTTCAGATCGCGCATTTTTTAAAAAGTCAATGTTGGTTGTCGTGACTAGTTTCATGTTAGAGAAACAGCACATGTTCTAAATGCAGAGATTATACCTTGAAACCAGTGTGCTAAACAAAGAGGAGCACTGTTCCAGGAATCCAAAGACAGACTCTCAGCTTTTCATATGAACTTAAAAAAACAAAAAACGAAACAAAACAAAACAACAGACCAGCTGCACTGGGTTAAGAGTTACAGTAGGTTTGTAATTGTCGCTAATTGATGCCAACTAGAAAGTCAAAGTGGAAAAAGACTGAAATATAAGCAACTTCACTTTGCAGTTGTTCACTTCTCTGTAATCATGAGAAAGTGCATACCACCTCACCACCCCCTCCCCCAACCCTACCTGGTACAACCCTTGACTACGTTCCCCGCTCCCTAGATTCAAGAAGTTCACAATCCATTAGGAAACAACATTGCTAGGTACCGTATTTTAAGAGTCTTAAAACAACATTGTTGGACTCAGCGATACTTTGTCATATTCATATATCTTTCTTTTTTTATTGAATAAAGCAGCTTTGAAGCTTATCAGGCACTGCCCAACAAAACATTTAGTCCAAAAAAAATCTGTTATGAACTTTTTAACCTTGGGCTAACAGCCAAGTACTCTGTACAAGAAAAACTGTAAAATATTTCATAGTTTTAATTCTGAAGCCTTTTTTACTGGCATTCTGTACATTTCTTTAAAAAAAATAACAAAATGAATATTAACAAAAAATCAGGGACAACAATATTTTCAGGCAACAAAAATTGGGGTAGAAGAAGCTTATTCTGAAAGTACATTTTAAACTGATAACTTAATGAAAATTAATTGCATAGAGCTGTGCATTTAGCCTTCAGCAAAACAAAACAGAAGCTATTTGGTATTGATACAAATCCATCTATTTGATAGTTAGTCATCCAATATTATGTACATATTTTATATACTGAATGTCACTTTAAGTCCTGTTTTCCGAGCTCCATTTTTCTGTTGCTGGGTTGTTTTTTGTTTCGACAAGTTTAAACACTTTCTGGCACTTTGCTATAATAGATTTTCCTCTGAACGTACATGGACTGATGTCCTCCCAAAATGTCCCTCGTGAGCAGAAGTGGCTTTCTGCTACATAGAGTTCACTTGTTAGAAAATGAAGTAATCCACAGTGCGATGTGTCTGGGCTCACCGTGCACAGCGACACCCAGGGTAACCCAGGCTGGACCCAGCACCCTCAGGCACAGGCTCTTCAGCCCCATCTTCCTTCTGGTTTCCAAAGTCCCAACTTTGAGCTGGTAAAGCTTCAGAAAGCATTAACAAGCACCATGGTTAAAGGCCTCTTTGTCCCTGCACGGAGAGATTTTTGCATTTCTTTTTCTCTTTGTGTTGTGGCTTTAAATTAAACCAAAATAAAAAAAGAAAGAAGGATAAGCAGTCCAGGTTAGAAACAGCTGATCATCCTGCAGCCCTAGGCTGTCTGCCTTCTCCCTACTTCTTTTTTGTCCAAGAAAGCTCTAGTCCCATCTGCAGAGAGACGAAGGCTTCGTTTCCGCAGCTCAATTCACAGGTCAGGCTGGAGAGGAGCCCTTTGCTTCCCAGAGGCCTCGGGTGGCTGAAGGTCAGGAACAGGATCGTAGGGCAGCGCTCATCGCCTCTGCTGTGCATATACCGGGTATGCTAGTGTGACATTGAGGGAGTCGTTGTGCTGCACGAGGGAGGTGTGTTGATAATGTAGCACCAGTTCCTTCAGGGAGCTGTACAAGTTATAGGGCTCTGCAAAGCCATAGCCAGTTGCTGTTTTGTTGATGACACAATGCTTGACCTCACCGTCCACCCTGGGGAAGACATGAAACACAAGAGCCTTTTGAGTTTGTCCAGAACAACTCATAACTCCGTAAGACATTTTTAACAAAGTCATTCTCCTGCAAGACCACACTCTGCATGCAGCCCATGTCAAACTAGGGAAAGAGTCCTAGGTGGCTGTGACCTCCGTCTGAGCTTTGTCACTTATTGACTGGCTGAGGGCCTTGAGCAGAGACAAGCTCTTGGGCCAGCTACAATGAGCCACTGTATTTTCATCTTTAAACTGATGTAAAAAGAGGACATGAGTAACATGTCTGTAACAGACATGCAATTTCCTGAAGAATGAAATGAGATAATGACTGTCAGGTACCTGCCAGAATAAACACGTGACAAAAGGCAGCTTCCAAGCATGGTGTCACTGTATGACCAGCAATATTACTGCTCCACTGGTAATCTTCAATAGGATTCTTTCAGGCTCACTTTGAAAGGTCTGCACAACCTTCCACCTGCATTTTATCTGTATTCTACTCCACTGTCCTATCAAAGATCTCACTCCTTTCTTCCTGAAGGAAGAGTTCTTAGAAGTTGGTCGTGGAGTATACTGTACTTTTAGAACATTCCTCTACCAGAAGGCTTTTACTTCTCTAACAGGGTAATGCCAGTGACCCAAGACTCACTTTTTAAAGTACTCCCCAGACCATTATGAAATCAATATATGTCTCTTCTTGTTCTGACCCGTTTTTAAAGCAGACTTTCTGTACTGGTGCTGTTCTCAAGTGAATTGCCCTAGGTCCTATCTACAAGAGATTTAGGAAGGAAAAAAGGGGGGACAAGGGTGCCACAGGCATTGTGCTTCCATTTTTTTTTTTTCAGTAGGAAGATATTGATTGATAGGAAAGCTCCTGAGGGCAGGAGGGGTCCTGAGTGGGTAGCCCTTCCATTTTAAAGATAAGAAAAGATTTACTGCTGGCGATTTAGCTCAGTGGTTCTGCCGCCTGCCCTGAAAGCTCAAGGATCCCAGTTCGATCCTCAGTACCAAAAAAAAAAGATTTATTGATGTCTCATGATTAATTTGCTGCCAAACTGGAACCTAAACCCCAATCTTCCTGCTAAATGGCAGGTTTCCTGCTATTAGACATTATTGACAGACACTTCTGGCTAGACTATAAGGTGATTTTATATCTATTTTATTTCCTGGTTCACATTACTGTACTATATGATACTTCAAGGCTAGACCTTTATCAAATCCTTAATCAAAATCAATGCATGAAATTGAGCGATGGAGATACGTACACCACAGAGCAGGCATAGCAGCCTTGCTTACTGCTCTCCCGGACGAGAAAAGTGCCGTCGCGCTTCCCTCGCAGCAGGTTTTCAGCTTTGTTGCGGTTGCTGCTGCCAACATTCCATGTCTTTTCATCATGGTGGGGCAAATCTTCATCGTCTTCCACCAGTGAATATTGGCTGAGCAGGCAGGATAGAAGGTTTGAGTGAAGAGTGTGGGTACCCCCACCTTGCCCCAGAGCCTCCCCTAGGAAGAGCCCTCCTGTTACTTCCACCCAGTTCTGCCCCACTCTGACCCAACCCTAGTTGGACCAACCACCATGTGGCTGACCTGGCCCTACCTCTCTGTGTTGAGTTTTGCACGTTTATCCTCCAATGCAAACAGCCCCCACCCCGACCCTGGACAAATTGTTAGCAATAACTTATACTATTTCTGTTTTCAGGTCAGCGATCACACTGAGGTACCTGGGGGGAGGGAAAAGTATTAAATGGTCCTGTTTACCGAGTTTAGACCAGGAAATTGTTTAGGAAGAATGCCAGTTTTCATAATTCAAGCCAAACATATCCTTAACCTTCAGAATATACTAAACATCGTTTTGTTCTGAGTGCTCCAAAAATATTTGGGGATTTTTTTCAGATGTTCAGGAACATCTTTATGGAGACCCATAGGGTTATTTTATACAATTAAGGGTAAAAATAAATCCAAGTTCTCCTTAGCTAAACTTTCCATTTTAAAAATTCTAGATGATGACATTCAGTTTATATACTTTTCTCCTATGAGATGTTCCAAACTTATTGAACTTCCTCCCTTGTTATAAAAACAAAGTCAGTTAAAATGAGAAAAACCTTTTGCTATCACCCATGTTTTACAGTCACTTACTCTTCAGTGTTTTCGTTGCCCAACCACTCGTTCAACTTCTTTTGCCGAACACCTTTTTGAGTCAACCACCTGTAAAAGATGTGAAAAAAGAATGCAGTAATAACTCATCCTTAATTTTAGCAATTAACAGTTATTCCCTCCCAGGGCTCTGTTTCCGATACTTACATCAAGTACTGGTCGCGCGTCTTTCTCAGTTGAATGAGGTCTGGTTTAATGCTGTTCATACGTTTGTCAATCTCTCGATACTCAGCTGCTTGCTTTTTCAAGTCTTCCTCCAATCTTCTTCTACTGTCAATAATTTCACTGATTCGTGACTTTAACTTATCATAATTATGCATAATCCTGCAAGGAAGAGAAATGTATCTGTAATTACCTGAGGACATCATGCAAGCTCCCCAAAGTTTATGAAAAGTTTCATTATCAGATCACAGCAAGATAAGGCTCCTCAGGTAAAGAGCATGTTCTTTCCATTTTTAAACTATGCAAAGCACAGAAAATGAGATCAGTTTTATTTTAATAAGTTGTATGGCACATTTCTAATATCTGATCACAGTGTTAGTAGATAATGTAATTCTCAAATAGGTTTGTTCATTATCTAAAATACTGGGAAGTAAACAGATCCTCGATCTTTTATAGATACACAGAAAAATAAAGATAATGAAAATAAGAATATTTTCACAATAAAGATGGTCAAAATCTCTGTAAGCCAGGCATGATGATGCATGCCTGCAGTCTCAGCACTTGGGAAGCTGAGGCAAAAAGATCGCCGAGAGTTGGCGGTTTTAAAAGACTGTGGTTATTTCCAGCACAAGGACAATAAAAATGTTCATGGTTCACCCACCTCTGTATCTCTTTCTCATTGCCTTCACGTTTAAACTTTTCTATGTATTCTTTGCTGTACCGCTCCTGGGTTTGGCACTGTTCTTCAAATATTTTTATGGTTTCATTAAATGCTTCAATAGCTGTTCTTTTCATTTGGATTTCCTATAACAGAAGTTTAATAAGACAATGTTATACCTTCCATAGAACAATTTGATTTGTATCATCTAGCTTCAAAGTACAATCTTCCTAGGGTATCATCACAAGAGACCTTCCGGGATCCTCTTCTACTACCAAGATCCATGGCCGCTCAAGGCCCTATAGAAAGAGATGTGGGAATCACATAGAACCTGTCGACTTCCTCTTGTGTACTCTACATCATCTCTCGATTACTTATAAATGTAAATGCTGTGTGAACACTGTATGGTATCCTTTAGGGATTAAGGACAAGAGAAAAAGCCAGTACATGTGCAGATAGATGAAAGATCTACCAACATGAGAGTCACCTGTACTGTTAGTGGAATAAGAATTCATAAAACCCACTGAAATAGTATCACAGAAATACATGGAGAATATTCTCAGTCAATGGAGAATGATTCAGCTTTCTTAAATCATTTTAGTTTATAGTGTTCACATGGCCTTCTCCCCCTGGCTATCTGAGAGGCACAAGTCTTTAGAAAGACTGCAGGAAAGGTGGCTTCTTCTTTCACAGCCGGGCATCTGAATGTGAAATCTCCATTTCAGAGACCAGATAACTCTGTGGCACTTTTAGCCTAAGCAAAATTCTTCAATCGGGACTTTGTCAAATTGACTTAAAACAGTGACCCCTTCAGATATCATGTGGACTCAATTTATTATTCTGCTAACTACAGGGTTCATTAGATTTAATGCTAGAATGGCCAACAGTGACGCACAAAGAAATGATCTCCCTCCCCCACTTCATCTGCAAATCTCAGCCTTTTTTTTCCTTTTTCTTTTTTAAAGATGAATATAACATGTGTTAGGGCCTAATAACTGAGAGTTCTGAACTTTTAGTTCAATTTCGCAGAATACTCACTTGGGAAGTACGAGTATATTCTTCATATAATCTATCATATTCTCGACTTTTTTCTTGAAATTGAGTGTTATATTCATGTAACTTTTTCCCTACAGCTTCAATGTTATCTTCTTTGACAACTTGATCCTAAAGGATTAGAGGGCAAAATCAAATCAATTGATAAAGTATTAATGAAATAACAGCTGCTTAACAAAAGAGGTAACAAGAAAAAAATCTTGTAATTTACTAATTGATTTAGCAATTTTAAAACTGCAATTTTATTATCATAGTTTCCAAATCTGATTCATCTACCACAAAATGTTTTCTAAATTTGAAAGTATCTTGTCCACACATCATGATAACCAGTTTTGATTACCTGTTGGTATTTGGATACTGGATACAGTAACTTCACATCCAGTTTGGGATTGTACTGAGCTAGAGATTCATTCCGGTAGTGGTTTATTAGTTCAACCACAGAATTGAAGGTTAATGGGTCTGAGAAGCCATATTTTCCATCTCGGTGAAATATCTTGATTAATTTGTTATTCCCTCCTTTCCTGTAAATATATAGAAAAATAATAGTATTACAACGTCCTAATAAAGAAGTATGCTTTCATGTTAACCCAAACACCCCAATCTCAGCTGCATTCCCTAACTCACCTTAGTGTAAGCGTATAATCACCATGCATTTTAGTAGATGCATCTCGTACCAAAAAGGTTCCATCTGCTGTATCTCGAAGTTTTTCATTCACTTCTTCCCTGAAATGAAAACAATGCTTACCACCCTGAGAACTCAGTGACCCTACGTATACATTTAAAAAAAATTTTTTTTTTGAGTTCTGGGGATTGAATTCAGGCCCTCGTGCATGCGAGGTAAGTACTACACCACTATACTCCCACCCCTAAAAGACTTGATTTTAAATGCAGATTGAGGTTCACAGCAAGTTAATCAAGTCCCCATATACCTACATCCTGTGCCTCTAGATTTATATGTAGGTATTACATTTTCAGAGCTGACTAATTTTCTTTGTATACAAATTTTTATCAATTTTAGTCTCCTTAGAAACAAGTGCATGAGAAAAAATAACAAAGGGAGGGTACCCTTTGACTATTGGTGTGTCTGAGGTACATTTATTTTTGTAGCCAATTAGCATAAAAAGTCACAAGCCCCATAAAGGTTTCCCCTAACTCCCTCTTGACTCCCCCAAAAATGCTTTAAAAAATGTCATTTAATGTTCCTGTGTTTTAAGACAATGACATTAATTGCTAAAGTTCTGCTTAAGAGGGGGCAGTGCAGTGTCAACCTGGAGCCCTCCTGACATCTCTGTCAATAATGAAACTTCCCAGGTATTTAATTTCCTGTGGCATCCAGCACCCCAGTACTTCAGCACTCAGTGACTTTTCTGGTTGTCTTTGGAAAAGAACCAACTATGCTTCATGCTTTTGTTGGATGGTTTCCTAAAAATGGAATTTAGCAGTCCTGTGGCCTCACCTGGAGATATCTCCCCAGTACCATTCCGCATCTTGTAAAGACATATTGTTATTCATACCGTTGTTGGCTACCGTGGTGGGTTTGGGTGGCTTCGGAGGCAGTGCTACAGATGAAAGAGAAAGAAAAAGTTGCTTGTAATCCCAACTCCAATTGAACATTTAAAACTAGGCTGAATATGTTTCAAAAAATAGCATTTCCACTATAACAGACAAAAAAGAAATTAGAATAACTGACAAAGATGCCAGTAATTCATAATTCCATGCATCACAGAAGATTTTTTTTTTTTTAAAGAACCATTTCAGAGCTCAAAAAGAGAACTGAAAAGAAGAGTGACAGACAGAACCTTACAGATGAATAAATTGAGCTGACCATGTGAATTTTCTACTTCTAGATTCTGGCTATATTAAAGTTGTATGCCTGGGCAAATTCATCTAAAGTAAAAATCTATGAACATATAAACAGCAGAAATAACATAAGGTGGCTTTAATTTTCTCTCATTTAATTGTAAAACACAAACTTGGTCTCTGTTCCCCACAAATGCTGTTGCTTGCAGTAACCGAAAAGCTCACCTAGATAAGTATGTTTTAAGAGAAGGAATTGGGTTTCTCTAATCTCAGTTGTTCAGGCACTATTCTGCCAAAAGCCACTTTAAGAAACTCATCGGTGACCTAAATCTTCTTAGTATTCATGTTAATATTCTGCTGGATAAACTGTGCTTTATATGCCAAGTCTGATTAAAAACCTTAGTCTCCCTTCCTCAATGTCAAATCAGTATACATAATGACTTGGTGACAGATAAAATACTGCAGTGTTTCTGAATTTCTTAATTAGGGGAAGGCTAAGAGTAGAAGAAAATTTAGGAAACAAATCTAGGATTTTTAGCTAAATTTGAAGTCACGGTTTTAAAACAGTTACTATTTTAACTTTTGCAAAAAATCATTTCAGGTGTCCATCAAGGATATTTTACAAAGACTAGGTCTGAAAAATGGAAAGTCAACTTCTTTATGCATTCTAGTATCTTAATCTAAGCGAGAGAGCAAAGTCCCCAAATCAGATTCAGAAGAGTTTGGGGTCAAAGAGAACTGAGTTGCAATTAGCACTACATTTTATGCTGGCTAAAGTACCATGCTGTCCTGAGCCATTATCAATAGAGAAATGCAGTACAAAAGGAGGCATCATTTTAATTAAAGCAACCATATACAACAATATACCCCAGCTAGCAGAGGACCATGCATGATTAACAAAAGACACCAGTGAAAAAGTGAAATCTAATTCATATTCATTCAAGAATCGGCATTTACCACACACATCCTTAGCTGCTTCCTTCCCCTGACAGTCTCTTTAATTTTCAAGTTATAATCATACTGACTTTCATCCATGGAACAAATTAGTAAAAATAGCAATCAAAAGAGGATCTGTTAACAGCAGCTTTCAAAAAATTAAAAAGCCACAAAATTAACAAGCTCTCTCCATTAATATTGCAGTATTACCTGGTGGATCCATTTCTATATAAAACATCAAGTCTGTGCCACAATTTATATCTGTCTTGGCATATTCTAAATCCAGGTCTTCCATATTCCAGACAGTGTTGTACATTTGTGCAAGAGTTTCCTTGGTTGAGCTCAGTTATAAGAAAAGAGTCTGGCTTTCTTTGTAATGGTGTCTTGGAATTCATTTTAAAACCTACAAGGGGCTGCACTGTAACCTATTACATCACACACCCCAGCCAATCAAGTCAGAAAAATGTCACCAGACCACTCCTGCTTCATCAGTTTCCTTCTACGCCAGCCTTCATACAGTCCCGAGCCCCACCAAGGACCCATGCATAGCAGAACCGCAATGTACACAGGCTCATCGTTTCCAAAGGTGTTTAATTTCACTGTTCTCCTCCAGCAGTGAGTTTTGTAATTCCTTTATTACTCCTTGCAGCATGGCATGCTCTCCACCGTTGGCAGGTTGACAAAAGCTGATACGCTGCAGCTAGTAGCTGTTCCCTCCCCCCAGTGCATCTGGGTTTATAGATAGCCCTGCCATTCCTTGGTCTAAAAAATCTTATAAAGGCATCAAAATGGTATCCTTCTGTTGTATTTTACAGTCCTTATATAACTCTCACATATGTTAAAAAGTAGAAGGATCAAGAACTCTGGGTGTTTCAGTCCTGCATGATTTGGGAAGAGCTCAGAACTTAAAACACTGTCATAAATGTACCACATAGAAAGGACAATTTTTAAAAATGTATAGACAAAATCTCTTCCTCGACTGAATATACCATAGTTTAAAATGAGCTTTATAGGATGACAATAAAAATTTGCAGAGAATGAGGATGCCTACTATTGCAGAGATACACCTAATTGCCAACATTAGTAAGAATTCCAATATTCCGGGGTTCAACAAAACTAGGCAAAAAGTAGATATTTCTTCCAAAAAGAAAATACTAGAAGGCAGAGTAGAGGTAGTGGAGGTATAGTGATCTCTGCAAAGTATTTCACCGATGAACCAGTCTTTGGCTAATACTGCTCGAAAAGGAAGGTGATGTAATCTTTTTTTTTTTTTTTTCTTTTCTCCCTCTAGCTCAAATGCCTCCCAGAGAACAAATATTCCTTATTAGCCACATTTAATATAAAGAAATCAATTTTGCTATAAATCTAATGATTAATTTTGGTTCTTCAAAGTCCTCCTGCATATAATTCTGTCACCTCACTGGAGACTAATGCACATTCCCATTGTGAACAACTGCTTTTGACATTCACAATATTCTGTGTGGGAGAAACCACCCCCCATGTAAAGGAGGCTCGCTTTAAGAATACAGCGGGCACCGTGGTCTATGCACACACGTATGTCACACTGTGTGACAATTAAAACACAGAAGCCCCTGAAATTCAGTCTCTTAGACGTCCTGTCAACTTAGGAATCATGAAGTAGATGAGAGCTCAGACGGAGGCCCGGTCTGCATCTCCTCTAATTTCTTTTCCCAGAACTGGAGAAGGCAGGCTCACTCTGTCCCCTCCCACTTTCTCCCCCTCACACTTTTCTATTTGCCTAAGGTTTTAGGTAAAACTAAACTCAAATTCAAATAAAAATGGTAAAAGCGGCAGGGAGGGGGATTATGTTCTCAAATAAGATTCAGGAAAAAAAAAATTGTAGTTTAGTAAAAATGTTTACCCTCAGCCCCAGTGTGAGGGGCCCAGTCCTCCAAGCGGTGTGGCCAGCCTAACACCAGCGAGGCCCTGGCCCCGCGTCGGGCAGCAATGGGTGTGAGCCAGTCCTGCTGCTGGCCCTTGTGGCAACGCAGCCTGAAGAGGAGCGCAGCCCTCGCCTGGCACCGACTTCCAGTCCAGCACTTGCTCATTACCTCCAACCCAAACCCCATCTTTCGCTCGCACTGATCCCCAGAGGACGCGAGGGAGTGTCTCCCCTAATCTCCCATCTGCCCTCTCCAGGCAGCATTCACGGGGCGTGCGCGCGTGTGTGCACACACACACACACACACACTCCGCGCACGCACGATGCACGCGCACACACCTACCCCGAGACCAGACTAGCCAGGAACTGATCACAGATCAAAAGCCACAGGCAGAAAAGGCAACTTACTTTGCAGGTTATGCATTTCAACAGTTTCCCTTGGAAATGCCTGTATCCGACAATGGGGAAAAAAATCCAACAAGCCGTTCTTCTCCCAAGTTCCCCTCCCTCCGGCGCCGAGCTCGCTCGCACCGCACAGTGAGCGCGCAGAGGCGGGGGCTGGGGACCCTCGGTCCCTGCACCGGGGCGTCCAGCCGTCCCTCGTCCGGGCCGGGGCCCGCTCCCTCCGCCCCGTGCCCCGCCCGCGCCAGTCCCAGCCCAGCCCAGCCGCGTCCTGTCCGCCCGCCCGGCTGCTGCGCGGCCGGCTCGCTAATAGAAAGCCACCCGGATCTCGGATCGCGGATCGCACTACTGTGCCAGGGAGGCAAAGCGCGGTGCGCTCGCACGTCTCCCGCAGATAAAGATCGCAGCTTCATGATTAACTTGGGCAGGTTCAAATATTTGCTGAGCTAAGGATTTCGGGAGGGGGAGGGGAGCCCAAGTCAAAGTCAAAGTTGTCATCGGCTGACAAGTGGCCAATGCAAGACCAGCTTGCTCATTTTCGCCAAGGAAATGAGAAGGCCATTGTAAGGGGACTGAAAATAGTCTAACTGGCTGCCGCGGTGCGCGCTGGCTGGCTGGCTGGCTCCAGGCTCAAGTAGCCGGCAGTGAAGCCAGGCACTATGCGCAGCCCAGCACAGGAAGTGGCTGAGCTAGTTCAGCAGAAAATAGAATCAAAGCCTAGCTTGTCAAGGCCTGAACCTCTCGGAACAGCCGGGAGCACAGAGGCCCGCTGGTGGCCAACTCCCGCGCCTCTCCCTCCCACACACTCGCACAGACTGCCCCGCAGGTGTCGCAGGAAGGGAAGCCCCTAAAAGACCCAGCCTGGCACCGCACTCGGGCTCACAGGGTCAGAGCAGAGCCGCAGGAAGGCGACTGGAGCTTCACCCCAGGACTCCACAGCACAACCAGGAAGAGATTAGGAAAAAGCAAAGCACGGCGGCTATTTTTATGTCCATTCAACTCCCGTTTAAATGGCAATATGACTTTCTAGTAATCAAGAGGTGTCTGCGCTAGGTTTACGTCTGGGCGGGGGGGGGCTTCTACCAGATTTCTATCCTTTCTTTGAGAAAGTTGCAATGAACCAGACTTAGGACTGTGGGCCACTCTTTAAAGAACTAAGATTTTTCCCACAAAAAGACAGCTTTAGCTGTATGATCCTGAGTACAATAGCAATGCAAAGTCTCTGAATCCCCAAGCTTGGGAACCTGAAAGTAATTTGGAGATCAATGATTCCTTCATGCTACAGCAAAAATAACCCCACCTTCTGAGGTTTGGTCCTGAACTTCTCCACCCACTGTCCTTGCTCCTTACTTCTGCCAGAGAAAGTCAAAACTGACAAATGAAATTGGAGGGATTGCTTCTCGGCCTTTTGGCTAAGATCAAGTGAAACTGAAGGTAATTTCTTTTAAGCCACATGCAAAAAAAAAAAAAATTCACATCTCAAACAAAACTCGAGCTTTTCCTGTTTTCTATTTTCAG